CCATCTCGACGCCGACGGAAAAATCGAACATAGACAGATCAAATTCATCAGGGGTTGCAAATATTGGTGTCACAAGGATATCCATGTTACTTTTTTGTCCGTGCTCCCTGTCAAGGACGAAACAATAATATTTATAGGTGCTGTTGACGGACGCCGCAAGATTGTCGAAAAGTCCTGCATAGGCTGCAGTTTGGAATGCGCTACTCCCTCCGCTCACGATACCACTATGGGTATCTTCCAAGATTATTTTCAATTGTTTCCTATGCATGTTGGTCACGGAGAAGTCGAAGTAAGTTTCGTTTCCCTCCCCATTGTACTGGACTATATTTTCGGCGAAAGGGTCGTATCTACTGCACCCTCCTTCATGGCATATAATCGCTTTCAAGCCGCGAAAGAACCGCCAGAAAAACTTGAAGCAAAAAATCAGCGCATCGTAATCGTTCGCGGAAGTTTGGTTCCCGCGGTCGAAATCGCGAACCCATTCCTGAGGATGGACGTAGGTATTTGAGTTGAAAGTATGAGTACCCAGGTCGAACTCGCTAAGCATGAAAATCAAATAATTGTTTGAGTTCCAAATTGAGTTCGTGTACAAACCGCGGGTTAAGTCAAAATTCGAATCAGATAAGTCCAAGGAGCCGTTCAGTTCTGCTGAGGAGAGAAACATTTCTTCGTCACATTTTACCTCCCCCATAGAATGCATATATTCCTCGACTGTTATGCAGTATCTTGGAAATTTATTTATTTTACGACACTCAACTTCTTGAGAACGATTGAAAGCAAAAATCGATTCGTTATAGAGTAGTGCGTGTTTTTTATCGTGATTAATGGTGTCTCCACAATTATTTCCTTCCCTCGAAGCCGAACTTAAAATCAGACTTGTGATCTCCTCGAAATCATCAACGAAGAAAATCATATTTTTCATCTGATTCTTCTCGCTCCAGCCCATCAGCTCGCAGTAATGTGTCGTTAAGACGGTTGGGATCGATGAATTGTGTAAAGTTTCGATCAAAATAGGCACAATCGGATGAGAGTTAAAATTTGCAATGTGAAGGAATTTTTGATCGGAAAGGTGGATTGTGTTGTGACAAACTTTAATAGCAAGCAAAAGCAATTGTCCACTATTATTTTTTTCCCTCCCGTTTAACTTATAATTTGTTAAAATGCTTTCACCTATCGCAATTGATAGGAATACTACGACCAATTGAAATTTAAAAGGCACGTTGCAGTTAATTTTACTTACGGAGTGATTCTTGAAGGATTTCAATGAAGCGTTATTAACACAGGGGATTGATCGTAGATGGTCAAAAATATATCCGTTTTATAGAGGAAGTGTCAAGAAATCAAAGGACTTGAGCAACGCGTCGACACAATGTCCAACAGGAGTTGCTCGTGAGCATGTTTACTAGGGCAAGCATATCGATGGAAATTTGTTGACTACGAAGTTTCTTAAAATGTTTGCAAAGCTCCTCAAAAATTTATTTTCTTGCAGAAATATTTCCACGTGAACAATTATACTGACAGTTACGAACAGGAATGAAAGTCAACAATGAGAAGCAACCGCCGATAAGGAAAATGCAAAAATTACATAGCCCGAAAATATGAATACAACATAATAAGAACTAAAACAAGTCTGCTTTCGAGTCTGCTTTTCGTTTTCAATATTTTAGCTTGCTTCTAGCCATGTTTTTAGGTTCTTTAAGTTTTTTTTCTATTTGGTCAATATTTAGAAAATGTTCGTGATTCGCTCGATAAACGATATCATGTGTTTGTATAATGTTTGGATGCGGTGTTTGTGCGGTTTGGTGATTTGTGTGTAACCTTTATTCCCGTTTATGACATCCAAAAGTCGCGTTGTCTTGACTCTCTCTTTAAAATGACTCTAGGACTAATAAGGCCGAAACGCGTCCACAGTTACCTTCCTGAATGGTCGTTAGTGTTGCAATAAACAGCGTATCTCTTTGAGGGAAATAAGAGACCCATACGAAACCTTAGGAATGATATACACTTTGACGCAACTTTTCGTGCTCGAAAGATGTCTTTGTTGCATATCCTCAGAAATGAAGGCGCTGCGGGTGTCTCTTGCGAGCAAGGAAATGTGCAGCGTTCTTGTGCGCCATCGGCTCGCAGCTCGGGAAAACGATTTTATTACATTGCATTTTCTTACACAACTTTTTCAATAGTTTTTAAATGAATGGCAGCCAATTTCAACACGGCGTCTCCTAAAATTTTAGTACAGATTTTCCTCATTTTTAACGATATTTGGACTGAGTTAAGCAGAAAGGAACCAACCCACATTTTGGAAAAAATCGTGTCATGAGTGGTTTTGAACTCAACCACTGCTCTACTATCTGTCTCCAAAAATTCAAAGTTTTTGTTGGAGCAAATTTTGCAGAAATTGAACTTGAAGTTTATCTTTTACATTGAGTCTTACGCAGGAGCCAAACTTTAAACCTCTTTTTCTCGGTTCGATCCCGATGTGGCTTGGTTCCTTTCTGTTTAACTCCGTCCATTTAGTCCGAAATTTCCTGACTTTCTCCGTGAATTATGGACACTCATATGATTCAATAAATCAGAATATTCGACGAATTGACTCAAACTTTTGGAAAATGCTCGAGACACTCAGAATTTCCTGATCTATGACCAATTTTCCTGATATTTCCCGAATTTTTCGATTTTTACCGACGGTGGACACCCTGTATCGATAATCACTTCGCAAATGACTCAAAAGCCTGCCTAACCCTGACACACATTATTCGTGGCGTTTGGAATGAAATAGAATTAAAACAGTTCTATCTTATTTCAGGGAAAAAATAAAAGTGCTGCTCTAACATTTTCTGGGTAAAAAAGTGTCCGACATGTTTCAATGTAGATTTTACCATAAAAAATGCTAATTTAACCGCTCCCCTACTTTCGAAATTTGAGGTTGTACATGGTCATTGAACGTCACCGACATGACCTGCCAGACCGACATATCTTCGAACATCAACAAAAATGACATCGAAATAAAATGTTGGCATTGTTAGATCCTTCCGGTTGAAATTTTTCGGGCTAGCTCTGGGTCTATATTGTGAAATGTACATTTGACACATGGCGGACATATTTCAGATCAATTTAAATGTTAAATCGGCAATCCATTTTTTCCGTGTATCCTGATGGGATTTATTCGTGACATTTAATGCTAGCAGTTTTTCTCCCCCCCCCCTCCCGCCATGCCTAGCCTCGTACCCCTCCCTCCTTACATCTAGCCAAGCGCGGCGCACAGTGCGGCCCTCTGTGGACGAAAAAAAAAATTCACAACTCGACTTCTGAAAATGTTTTTTTGGAGTTTATCTTCTTAAACAAATGTCTGACTCATACAATGATGGTTCATTTTCAAAGTTTCCGCTCACAACTACTTCTAATTTGGGTAGAAAGTGGGCGCGAAATGAATCTAAAATCACTGATCCATAAGAAATACACGGGAAAAAGACGTCAACTTCGATTGAGGATTTCTCGCTTGAAACGGAAAATGCTCTGGGTAGTTGACATTTCCTTAATCCTCAGATATCCAACTTCAATTAATTCTACCGAGAAGATCTTGCGACTTTTTGCGACTATCAGAGATATTTGAAGTTAAAGTTTGGGTGTTTCACACTGGGAAAAAAAAACACATTGGATCTAGAGTCCAGGCTCTTGAAAACATTGACAAGAGAAAATACTCTTGATTCAATCAGATTTTTGCTTAAATCAAAAGGAAATCCGCTCAAATTAAGAGGCTTGGTTCTTGATTTAAGCGAAAATCCGATTGAATCGAGAGTATTTTTTCTTGTGGATGTTTTTAAGAGTCTGGACTCTAGATCCAATGTGTTTTTTTTTCCAGGGCAAGTTTCTTTTTCATTGTTAACATAGGGCTGATTCGAGGATGCCAACTTCAAATGAACTTATCTCGAAAAAGACGTAAAAAATCCTCAAATATAACATTTTCTTATTCCTCGAGTGTGTTACGTTGATAGTGCCAAAGGGTTTTCCTATGTCGGTATATACTACTATCTTCATTCTTTAAAGTTACTAAGTGTCTCTTACCGATTTTTGTCCGCATCGTTCATAAGGATGCCACACTGTGCGGCGCACAGTGCGGCACCCTTGTGGACGATGCGGACAAAAATCGGCAAAAGACACTTGACTTTAAAAAATGAAGATAATAGCGCCGACATAGGAAAACCCTTTGGCACTATCAAAGTAAAACACTCGAGGAATAAGAAAATGTTATACCTCAGGCTTTTTTGCGTATTTTTCAAGAAAAGTTCATTCGAAGTTGACAACCTCGAATTAGCCCTGTGTTAACAATGTAAAAGCAACGTGAAACACCCAAACTTTAACTTCAAATATCTCTGATAGTCGCAAGATCTTTTTCGTAGAATTGAAGTTGGATGTCTGAGGATTAAGAAAATGTCAACCCCCCGGAGCATTTTGCGTTTCAAGCGAGAAATCTCCATTTGAAGTTGACGTCTTTTTCCCGTGTATTTCTTACGGACCAGTGAGTCCCGACCTATTTCCTGTCCACTTCCTGCCCACATTTGAGGTAGTTCTGAGCGGAAAATTTGAAAATGAACCATCATAGTGAGTCAGAAATGGACTACATTTTGCCATTTGGAACTATAAATTCTAACCCGGTTTGAAAACAACGTATGTGCCATTAGTTTCCCCATGCACATAAGTGTTTTCCCAGAGGAGCCAGAATTTATGGTTCCAAATTGCAAAATGCAGCCTAAATATCTTTAAGATGACAAATTCCGAAAAAAAATTTCAGATGTCGAGTTGTGAATTTTTGATTTTTGTCCACAGAGGGCCGCACTGTGCGGCGCGGCGCCGCGCCGCGGTAAGCTTACCGAAAACCACGAAGCTTTCCCAGCATCACCGCTCACCTCATCTCGTCTCATCTCCACCTCAGCACCCCCAGCCCTAGCGCCCGCCCCGCTGGTCGCGGCGGCGGCCGAAACGCCGATCAGTGGAGTCTCCAGTCGCGCACAGAGCGGTCAGTTGGTCCGCGCCGCAGTCCGCAGGTCAGTCCCGCACCCGTAGCCGTACCGCCAGCCGCCACCACCTCCACAACCACCGCCGCCGCGCGGAGGGAGATAGTGATCCGTCTACATAGCTCAGTTCGTTCAGTGGCACGGTCCCATTAGTGCACGGTGTTAGTGGTGTGTTTTCGTTGTGTTCCCGGTACCTGGATTTCCTACCCCCGGCCGCGAAGGTGAGTCCACTTCCTTTGTTCCCGCTCTCCCGTGCTCAGGAAAAACGCAGTATGAGCCTTCCGGCGTTGCCAAATTTCCTTTGATAAAACACGAATTCCCTGGTAAATTTGTGAATATTTTTCGGACAATTTTTCAGAGAATTTTTATGGTATTTAGATCTAAAGCTCCTGAACATTTCAAGGAAAAATATTCATAATTTTCCCCAAGGATAAACATTTCATCAAAAGAAAATTTTGCGACTCTCGAATGTTTCACTGAAAAAAAATTCTCGGCGTTTCTACCAAGGTCCGTTGGTACCTTTACCATCTCACTTTTTTTACCAATTATTGGTAATTTTACCAAGACAGACTGGTAAGTTTATCTAAAAACCGGTATTTTTACTGTTTTTTTTTCAGGTAAGAATACCACTTTTATTGGTAATCAATTCCCGGTAACTTTGCCAATTTATCTCGGTAATTCTACCACAGTCGATAAAAAATATTGGCGTTTTTACCAAGGTCCAGTAAAATTACCGAGAGAGTTTAATAATTTTACCGGAATTTCTCGGTAAAATTACCAATTCCATAAATGGTAATTTTACCGAGAGAAAACTGGGATCAAACAGAACCCTGAATTCTTCGTAATTTTACCCTTTTCTTAGTAAATACACCGAAATTTTTTTTTTCAGTGTTTCCGAGAATTTTTCTGGTATTTTGATCTAATGTTCCTGAAAATTTCAAGGTAAAACATTCATAATTTTCCCCAAGTGTGAACATTTCACCAAAGAAAATTTTGCAACCCTCGAATGTTTATACGGCGTTCTTCCTTAGCACGGCAGTATGAGCCTTCGGGCGTTGCCAAATTTTCTTTGATAAAACACGAATCCCCTGGTAAATTTGTGAATATTTTTCTCCCGACTTTTCAGAGAGTTTTTCTGGTATTTTGATCTAAAGTTCCTGAAAATTTCAAGGAAAAATATTCATGATTTTCCCCCCGAGTATAAAAATTTCACCGACGGAAATTTTGCAACTCTCGAATGTTTATACGGCGTTCTTCCTTAGCACGGCAGTATGAGCCTTCGGGCGTTGCCAAATTTTCTTTGATAAAACACGAATCCTCTGCACTGAAAAAAGAATCTCTGTTTATTTACTAAGAAAAGGGTAAAATTACCAAGAATTCAGGGTTCTATTTGATCCCAGTTTTCTCTCGGTAAAATTACCATTTATGGAATTGGTAATTTTACCGAGAAATTCCGGTAAAATTATTGAACTTTCTCGGTAATTTTACTGGACCTTGGTAAAAACGCCAATATTTTTTATCGACTGTGGTAGAATTACCGAGATAAATTGGCAAAGTTACCGGGAATTGATTACCAATAAAAGTGGTATTCTTACCTGAAAAAAAACAGTAAAAATACCGGTTTTTAGGTAAGCTTACCAGTCTATCTTTGTAAAATTACCAATAATTGGTAAAAAAAGTGAGATGGTAAAGGTACCAAAGGACCGTGGTAAAAACGCCGAGAATTTTTTTTCAGTGTGGTAAATTTGTGAATATGTTTCTTCCAATTTTCAGAGAATTTTTTTGGTATTTTGATCTAAAGTTCTTGAAAATATCAAGGAAAAATATGCATAATTTTCCCCAAGTATAAACATTTCACCGAAGGGAATGTTGCAACTCTCGAATGTTTACACGGCGTTCTTCCTTAGCACGGCAGTATGGTCCTTCGGATGTTGTCAGAGCTCCTTCGATAAAACACGAATTTTCTGGGGGNNNGGGGGGGGGGGGGGTTGAAGCACTGGGTGCAGAAACACTTTGTCTATCAGTTTAAAAAACCAAAATTGGGGACTTTCGGGGACTTTTATGGGTGTTTTCTCAAGAAAATCGCGGACTTTTTTTCCCGAAATTAGGAAACGAAAGGAAGCTCTAGTTAGAGCGTTAAAAGGCTAGGCGTATTTTATAGGACTAATTTTAAAAGTCATGTTGAACCGATGAAAACATACGAAAAACCAAGCAACACTTCAGTTTTTTTTATTTCCTGGTTCCACCGCGCTGACGCGACTGGCGGGAAAATTTGAAAATGCCGGTGTTAAGGACGATTTTTGTCATATTTTGGGGACCTGAACGAGAAAATTGGGGACTTTTGGGGACCGGTAGACACCCTGAAAAAGGTCATTTTTTGATGCGTAGCCTCAGAATCTCCGCTGACACACAGTGGGTCAATAGGAAAGGTCGGACGAAATTTGGAAACTTTAAACGCTCATAACTCTGCCCGTTTATACACATTTTCGAGGTTCTAAAAGGAGTTCCATATTGGTTTCTTCTTGTAATTTTCTTTATACGTAGACCTTGAAATTTAAAATGAGACGAAATAAACACCAAAATTTGCAGTTCTAATAAAAAATTTCATGTCATGTCCGACCCCTCTAATTGAATCGATCTACTGCGTGACGCTGAAAATTCGCCGAAAACTCTTTTCGGACTCGAACGACTCGTACTCAAATTCGTTGAAACTTATACTGAATTTTCTTCATGATTTTACGATGCTCGAAATGAAAAACTTCATAAAATTCAATAACTAGTTTCCTCTCTAAAATAAAATTTAGCAGTAAAGATGTCGAGACGCTGCAACAAAGATCTGCCCTTTTCACACGCAGCGCCTCATTTGCGAACGTTCCTGTCCAATTTTTCAGACGATTTTGTTCGCAATTTCAGCTGAAATACTTGAAAATCCCAAGGCAAAGTAATCGTGACTTTCTTCAAAAATAAAATGTGTTTACTGAGGAAAATTTGTCAACGTTCAAATGTTCATACGGCGTTCTTCCTCAAGGGGGGAACGTTGCCGAGCTAACGAAAAACGTCGTTAGGACATTCGAAGGTATCCAACTTTCTCCGATGAAACATGTATACATGTTTCATACATGCATTCATGTTTCAAAACTATAGTTTTGAGGATGATTATGCTTCTTTTTCCTTGAAATTTTCATATATTTCCGATTAAATTCAGGACAAAATCGTCTAGGAAATTTGCAGAAAAATACTGACACGGTTCCCGGTAGATTCAGTTTTTATTGAAGGAAGTATGGCAACGTCTGAGGGCTCGTACGACGTTTTTTCTCAGAACGGCAGCCCGGGCGTCGGCAGATGAGACCTGGGGATGTTGGTTTTAATGAGATTCGGGGGTCACAGTAAAGTGTGGATACGTTTGTTATGGTTAGGGACCTCAGCACTCGCGTTGGCGCACGGTGGAATTTTTGGTGTTTACTCGTGAACGAGCGGGTCAAAGTTTAGTCCTCGGTTTATCTAGCCGGTGTGAATTGGAACGAGTTAGGCAGAAAGGAACCAAGCCACATTAGCTTCGGGCGATTTAATTTTACGTTGAAACTGTTGTGCGGATTTTTGTGCAAATTTCAGTGGACTTTCTGCATAGTACGACGAAAATTCCTCAAAATTTTCAAAAGGATCCGCACAAACGTTCACTTGAAAAAAATCGAATTGCCCGGTTAACTTTGGCAACAGCAGAAGTTGCTTGGTTCCATTCTGCTGAACGCGGTTCATATATGTCTGGCTTCTTTCTTAAAAATCATGTAAGTGTTATAGAATGAATGCGTGCGCAAAGTTTTTCTGTCTTTTTCCTCTCTCACGCATAATTGGCCCAATGTGCGGTCCTCTAGCAAACGAAAGTGTCACAAAGGCCAATGAATGCCCAGGTAAAAGGTCTCGATTTTGTTATCTGATTTAGGATGTTTTGTTGGTCAGTCAGTGGTCAAGAGATGAAAAGACAATGGAACAGAGTATGTCCGTTCTTCTTCACTGCGACGAACACGGTACCTTTCGCCGACCCCCCCCCTCTCCCACCCCTAAAGTTTTAGCCCACACCTCACCACTGTTTCAGGGAAATGCCTCAATATTAGTTAGTTAAAAAAAACAAAAAAAAAACATTAATTAAACGCACTAAAATTTAGGCTTTTAAAACGCTGGAATAGGTATACTCTTTTCATCGATTTTCAACAGCGCACTAAGTAAAATTAGCCATACAGCCGTGCTGAGAAAGAGCGCCGTACGAGCCATAAGGCGTTGCCAAATTTCCTTCGACAAATTACGAATTTTCAGGGAAATTTGAGGATATTTCTCTTCCGATTTTTCAGAGGATTTTGTTCGTAATTTGATCTAAAATTTCTGAAAATTGTAGGGCAAAATATTCATAACTTTCTTCAAGAATACATATTTTCTAGGAGGAAATTTGGCAACATTCGAATGCTCATACGGCGTTTTAACTTAGTGCGACAGCGCACTCATCGAACTCGAAATTCCTGCAATGATGTCACGTTCCGAACTGCACATTAGCGTCGAGCGTATCGTATTAAAAGTTTCAAAGAAACGATGTCATTGATTCCCGCTGCGCCACGGATGATTACAGCCAATCACAACTAAGTGGTTTCAACGTTCGCCTAATCGGACCGCGTTAAACAGAAAGGAACCAAGCCACATCAGCTATTGCCAAATTTAATTGAGCAATTTAATTTTTTACATGAAAATGGTTGTGCGGATTTTTGTGCAAATCTCAGTGAAAATTCTCCATAATTTGACGCGAATTCCCTAAAAATTTAAAAGGAATCCGCACAAAAATTCTCTCGTTAAAAATCAAATCGCCCAGTTAAATTTGACAATATCTGATGTGGCTTGGTTCCTTTCTGTTAAACTCAGTCCAATTATTGGACCTGCCGATTCTCAGATGAGCCTCATACCGCTTCAGTCCCTATGCATTTTGTAGTTCATTTGGCATTCGACATAGTACCCTTTCACGGGAGATTATTTACCGATGACCGGCAGGCCAACGATCTGCCAACTTTAAATGAAGAACCGCGTATAGCTTATCTTAATCCTAGGCGTACCAGTGGTTTTTGCTTGAAATCTATGTCCAAATCCGCCAGCTATGGTCTTAAAATTAGCGTCAAAGAAGAAGGGGTAATCATCGCAATCGCAATGTAAGTTGCCTTTCTCCTGATAGAACACGGATTTT